CAGTGGACACTAACCTGTAACCCAACACAGAGCCACGCCCACAGGAGGCAGTCAGAAACCTGTGACAACACACCATGACCAAAGAGCAACGTTTAGAAGGAAGGGTCTGTCTGTGTTTATAGTTGCAGAGTGACCAGGATCCATCAGACAGGCATGGAGGCTGAGCAGGAAGGAGGCTGAAGAGTTCACATCATCAACTGTGAGCACCAGGTAGAGTTAAGTACAAGTGATGGGAAGCTTTTCATCTCAAAGGGTGACAATTCTTCCTCCAGAAAGCCTGTCCCCAGCTGGGGCCAAGCATTCATTCAAATATCTGAGCCTATGGGAGCCCTTCTTGTTCAAATCACTATGACAGCCCAACCCCCAACATGGTTAGTTAGAAAGGACAGCCTCTGGGAACCCATTAAGCTAGATGTGAAGCCATGAGTTAGAGCCCATGATGAGATTAGTGCCCTGGGAACAAGGGACTGTCCCCTTCATCCTGGGAGGACTTGGTGAGCTAGAAGAGTCATGCTAGCACCCTGATCCCAAAGCTGCTGAGCCATCCACCTGTGGTATTTGCTGTAGCAGCCTGGGCTAAGACAGCAACAAAACAAATAACACACACACACACACACACACACACACACACACACACACACACACACAGAGGCAGATTTTAAATAATGTTATATATAATATACTGTGTTGTTTTAGAAAGGAAACACAGAATACAACCATCACTGTAACAAATGAGTGTTAGTAAACGAAAATAGCGAAGGAAGCAGATGGAAAAAAGATTTGAGGAAACTTCGAGTTCAGCAGGGAGGGATAAAAGGGAGGGAGCCAGGAATGAGGGGTTAGCTGCTCAGAATGGAATGTGAGCATACAGAAACACTAATAACTAGAAGACATGTACCACGAGAGAAATGAAGGGTGAAAATCTTCCAGAATTAGTCAATGGAGTGAAACCCAAGTTCCTGAGGAGTGAGTTCCCGAGAACACAGCCTCATACTCGGCTGTGGGAGGGTCTTACACACAGCCCAGACTGCTCCTTCATCAAAGCTGAGAAAGCCCAGTCCCTCAGAGACGAAGCAATCTGCCTACCATCAAAGAGCTGACTAATGGTAGACACAGAAACGATCTTATCACATCACTTCCTAAGAGAAATAAAACAGAAAACAAGCCCTACCAACCTTATGACTGGCTTCAGCATTTTAAACATCAATCTGAAATCACGCTATTTGAAGAACTTACTTTACATTCTGCTAAGTGAAGGCACTGATGATCTGAGGGCCATGCTTACCATCTGTATTTAACAGAGGACCAGGGCAAGCTGGAACTGCTCTGGCAATACCTTAAGGATCAAACAGTTTAAGACAGTCTTTCTATTTAAAATTTAAGGCTATTAGGATAATTCCAGTGCCCAAACTTCATACTCTTATCTTCATCTGTTTAATAAATGCACAGCGCTTTTGAATCCCCACATCATGATACAGACTAAATGACTTTCTTCCTTTGAAACAGAACAACTCACCATCTAATTGAACCTCTGAATGGTCACTGTTAATTTGATATGGATTTTACACTAGTCAGACGGGCATAGACTGTACCAGCTGTTCTTAGATGGGTCATCCCTGAATCCCTGATGAGTCAGCATCCTTGAAGTAATTCATGTATGGAAGAAAGAAAAACCCAGTAAGCCTGGGGAATGTGTGAGTTTATCCCTCTTCACCAACTGCAATTTTCAGTTTGTAAAGAACAAACTCCTATTGTTTTGATGTTTGTGGATTTTAGGTCAGAAAATAATTCTGTGACTACTTTAAACAACTTTCAGGTGAACACGGTATTTCTCAGAAGCCTAAAGGTTAAAGAACCAAAACCAGGTGATTTGGTATGTTCCAAGCCAGGCATCTTCAGAAAACTCTAACTTGCATTTTGCCTGTGAGTAAACTCACTTTATCATGTCGTATATCTTAAGGCCTAAGGTACATTGTCACATATATTTCTTCAGTGTTTTGATTAGAATTTTTAAAAGCATGAATCTTGAACTTTTTCAGAGCTGTGTCTTGGTTTCAGCTGCCCGTGAAAGTTAAAAATACTTTCGATTTTAATACATTTTAACTGCTCATATTTACACACCTGATGATGGTGGAGAGAAAGGATGAAGACAGTGAGCCAGCAAAACCCAAGCTGAAAAAAGCCGGAGGCACGTCATTGGTGCTGCCAGCTTGGTGGAGTCTCCTGGGAGATGGGCCCTGGGCATGCCCAGGAGGATGACCTTGACATGTTAATTGAAGCAGGAGACCTACGCAGCTTAGAGGTGCGTAGGGCAGTTCCCTAGGCAGGGGTCCCTGGCTGTGTAATATGGAAAAGCCCAGTGAGTACTAAGAGTTGTTGCTGGATAGTCCTGACCATGGATGTGCTCTGGCCAGCTTGACTCCCCTGCTCTGACCGGCTGTACCCTTGAACTGGAGCCAAAATAAGCACTTCCCCAATCAGTTGCTTTTGTCAGGGTATTTAATCATCGGACCTGGAAAAGAAATTAAGACAGGCCAGAAAAATACTTCTGCTAAGCACTTGCTGCAAATAACTCAGGTAACACATAAGGAAAGCATCAAGACATTTATTTATACAAATGAAGAGAGTATAAAGACAAACCACACAAAGGCAGGCAAACTTAGCAACAATATATAAAATCCCAAACAAATGGTGAGGCTGTAAACATTGCAAGCCAGGGAACCACAGAGCAGTCCCACTGCAGCGGCTACGCTCTAGGCATGCGTCCTGGAGATCTCAAAAGCTCTTAGGGTGGAGAGACACGTGACTGAGACAATCATGAAGACTGAACACACTCGGATAAAATCACATGAGAAGTCAATCACAGCATAGGTGCCGGGATTACATAAGTAAAAGGGGAAATACAATATAAAAATAAAAGTCCAAAATGGCTGCATTAGGATGGGGGAACATCACAATTTTCCTCAGCATTTTCAAATGAAAGGAAAAGACTGGCTACCATTTCTAGAACTTACTTGCCTTTTCGTGAGGTCTACTCTTTCCTATGAGAAGAGGATGTGTGTGAAGTATAAATTGAAAGAGACAAAAAAAAAAAAAAATCCCTCAGCCGTGTGGTCTGTTTGGACTTCAGCTAACGAAGACACTATAAGCAGCCTGTGCCGTTCTAATGGGCAGCGGGATCTACCGCCACCTTTGCTTACACAAATCACAGGGCACTAGACAGCAGAAAGCAAAGCTATAGACTCACAGGGTCTCACTCTGTGGTCAGGCTTGCCTGAAACTCACAGAGATCCACGTGCCTCTGCCTCCCAAGTGCCTGTATCAAAGGTTGCATTGTGACATCTGGCTCAAAATTACAAAACTTCTAATTTATAAATTTACCATGGTATCAATACTATTTTTCTTTCTTATACTAAGAACTAGTTTTTTACAGCTGACCTGAACAAGGGGAAGCTCATGGACCCCAGACTGATAGCCGGGAAACCAGCATAGGACCAATCAAGACCCCCCCTGATAGTGGTTGTCAGTGAGGAGGTCTGGACAATCTATGGGGACTCTGGTAGTGGATCAGTATTTATCCCTAGTATACAAATGGACTTTGGGAGGCCATTCCACCTAGAGGGATACTCTCTCAGCCTAGACACCCAGGGGAAGGCCTAGGCCCTGCTCCAAATAAGACAGATATTAAAGATCCCCCATGGAAGGGCTCACCCTCCCTGGGGAGCAGAAGGGATGGGACGGGGGGGGGGGGGAGGGGTAGCAGGGGAGGAGGGGAAGGAGAGGGAACTGGGATTGACATATAAAACAAGCTTGTTTCTAATTTAAATTTTAAAAAAAGAGAGGAGAAAAAAAGAATTAATCTTTTAAATTAAAAAACAACAACTTTTCACTCATTTTCTGTGTGTGTTGAGGTGGGTATCCACCTGTTACAGAGTGGATGTGGACAACCTGCTGAAGTTGTTCTTCCTTGCTATCACACAGATTGCCCAGGGATCAAAACTCTTTTATCAGGCATGGGGGCAAGTACATTTCTTACCTCTAAGCCATCTTACCTGCCCAGAATTAGTTTTAACATTTTTATTATAAATTTTACCAATATGCTGGGGATTATCTGTTGAAGCATCTAACTTTTACATTAAGTTTATATTACAGTAACCAGAATAAGACCATTAATCTGTTCATTTAAAAAAAATTTTAGTTAGAGGCAACAACCTTTAAAAAGAATGGCATTCCAAAAGGTATAAAAACTTGTATTTTATGGAATGTTAAATAACTCTTCCTTTTGGAAATATATTTCAGGAAATGAAGATCTTAACGCCCTATCTTCACACTACATTGCATCCCTGCATGACAGGTGTGCCGGGAATCACTGCCCTTGGGAGCACAAACAGGAGGAGCCCTGGTTGCACAGTGAGTCACCCTGGGTTAATCTATGTATCTTTTAGAGTAACTATTTCATCTGTGTGTCCTCATCTGTGTGTCCATGGGGGCATGTGTGCAAACCCAAGGACAGAAGTGAGCCCATCTGTGTGTCCATGGGGGCATGTGTGCAAACCCAAGGACAGAAGTGACCTTGAGTCTTTTTGGGTTTGAGTAGCAGGAGCCACCTGGTGTGGTTGCCTGGATCTAAACTCTGAGGTGTGCTGAAAAGGACATGAGTCCTCTTAGCGACCAAGCCACTTCTCCAGCTCCACTACCCTGAGGTAAGGTGACCTTGTCTCCAAGAACCCAAAGCACACACATAAATGAATAAATATTCCCCTAACGAAAAAACTATGCACTCCTGAGATTTGCTGTTTTTCAAAGTGATCATATTTCGAAGATCATATTAAATGGGGTGAGAACTTCCTGAAACTACATGAAATAAGCATTTGAGAGTTGTAGGGGAGCTGGTGGTGCTGGGCTGCTCTCTCCAGGCCACAATGTCACCTGAAGGAGTAAATAACTACAGAAACCATGTCACAGGGACCACTGCACCACAGAGACACAGACACACATGCTAACAAGCAGGCAGGAGAGAATTTTAATCCAAGATACATTCTTTAGTGTATAGCCTAAAAATCACATTTTTAGTAATCTAATACAATGTATTTAGTAAATTAATACAATGTATTAATACAATGTAATTTAATACAATGTGGTTGACCACAGAAACAGCTGCCACAATACACAGCTACAGGAGCCGAGTTCTGCTCTAAACTGGAGATGAGGATTCTGAATGTGTGGACCTATTACTTTCTGATGGGGTAGAACAGAAGTTTGTGCGTTTGCAAATGTCTATTAGGAAACCACACTCATTTTCAAGATTTAAGAAACAGCCACAGATGAGTATAGTCCATCAGTCCCATGCTTCACAACAGCCATGAGCTCTGCAAACACACGGAACAGTTCAATACTGAACACTTCATGTATACCCAAGGAATTTCAGAACAATGGAAGCCCCTGGCAGTTTAAACAAAGCAAACATTGACACTCCGTATACTCACTTCTGTGAGACTAACAGGACTACCTGTCTTCCGTAATTAGAAAATTGTTTACTTTTTCATATGAAAAAGACTAAGGAAAGATCAAATTCAGAAAGCTGATTTATCTGAATCCAATCACATTCATCGTTCAGCAACACTAAGACGTCAGGGCACACACCCAGGCTGGCCTCAGAGTGTCTTAATTTCATCCTCTTCCCTCTTTGTCTCACTTAGAGTAATGTATTCATAGCTTAAAGCCTGGTCACTGGATTTCTCAGATTTTGGTTTTTTAAATGCCAACTCATCTGGCAAAAGAGATGTGCAGTGTTCAAGGGACTGTGCGATGTCATCAATGGTCCATCTGTCTTCGGGGAGGGCATGCTCTTCAAGTGTAAACGGCCCCTGTTTGGTGCGGGTCAGCTCCAGCACGTGGGCACAGGAAGAGAGTTCTACAGAACACAAGTGTGAAAGGGGGAGGTGAGCCACATGGTATTCACAACCTGCAAATTTACAAACGACAGAGCTCCACTCGGATATCTCAGGGGAACAGCCCAACATAAGAGTCCACAGCCTGAGGTAAACCAGTGCTTGAGCAGGGAAGGCTTTAGTGGTTTAAACGTACACCTGCTTTTCAAAACCACTTGGCACTTGAAGCAACCCCATGAGGTAAATATTGCTCTCATTCTGCAAATAGAATAGTGTGACCTGTCCACTTTTATGTGACCAAGGAGCAGGAAAGGCAGAACCAGAACTTTCTGGATGCTTCTAATACTCTGGCTTCCAGTTTGAAAAAAAAAAAAAAAGATTTGTATCAATGTAAATAATTTTTAGAAGGATAAATCTTTTTGTTCCTGACCCCCACTCTGAGTAAAAATGTTGCTTTTTCTCATCCATTATCACTGTGTTCATTTTCTGTTCCTCTATCCGTGTGTCACGCCCACCCATCCCCATTACCAGCCCCTGGCTGCAGCTGCTGGGGCTTGGAAGTGCATGCTGCAACCCACAATGCATCTGAGACAGAAGCAGCAACAGTTCAGCTCCTCGGCCAGTACTCAGAAAAACGAAAAACAGAAAATTCCCTCTCCCATCAGAAAGGAGCGCTGCTCTCTAAATGATAATTCATAATTCATTTTTCTGCTTACCTTTGCCAATGTCATTGACCAAGCTTCTGATGTAGAAGCCGCCTCCGCATTCAACATCTGGAATGTTAGCAGGGACACAGTAAAAGGCTGACCTCCTGAGAGATCCACTTTACATAAAAATGACGGTCTTCAACACATGTAAAAACGCACTATGCAAACAATCGAGCCATAAAATATTTATGGGCTAAACCATAAATTATTCATCCAGCGGCATATGTGTTTGCAAGATTGAAAAGTCAGAGTGTGGAGCAGGCAGAAAGTCACGAACACATTTTAAATTAACTGGCAAGCCATACCACATTAATACCTCAGCCTTGTTCGTTTAATAGGTTTTAAATAGAATCCCAGCTTTGCTATCATGAGCTATGGATACTAAAAAATATTTTCAGATCTGTATCCTTTGTTCATTTATTATGTTCAAGACGGTTAGAAATCTCAGCTATTCTATCGTGAGCTGTGGGTTTCTTAAGTATTTTCAGATTTTATAACACAAAAAATTTAACCAAACACCAACCAAAAACTCCCTTTGGTAAGGAAAAGAACTGTGCTTGGGGTGTGCTAAGAGCCATAAAATAACCTAACCACACAGTGCTGTAAACCTACAGGGCCTCACAGGCTGGATGGAAGGCAGGGCCTGAGGTGACTTGGAGTGGAGCGGCCACACACTCCAAGGCCCCCATTGTCGCATGGATCAAATCAAAGAGATTTGGAAGCACTAATCAAAACTCACCACCTGGGGACTCCAATTCTTCTCCACAACTCCCAACCGGGGGGCTCCCGAGACCAGAGGGGGGTGAAACGCTGGGACCAACCTGGGTTGTGCCAGCATTTGAGTGACACTTGACTTTAGAAGACAGCTGCTCCTCACACTTGCCCTTCCACACTCTCTAGTCTACGCGATGAGGCATTCCTGACTTACAGGCAGCCAGGAACCCTAATGGCTCATGGTCTGTCTGCTCTGCCAGAGAGGAGGCTGCACTCTCATGGAGTTTATTTTCATGTTTTTTCCTTCCTTATTTGTCAAGTCATTTAGAATCAGGAATCATAGCAAAAGCCTTGTTTTCTCAACGGTACCACCTTCTGCAGGAACTTACTGTGTATGGAGTAAGAACACCAAGGAGAAGCAGTGAGGGTGAGAGACACCATCTGAGGGAATCCTATTCGACATTACTGCGAAATGAAGGCTGGATTGATTTCAAAGAGTTTGAGGACTAACAACTACATTTTTAAAGCTATGTAAATCATTTTAAACCATACAAACAAGGGTATTTTTTGGTTTAAAAATTTACTTCAAATATGGATCACATATTCAAATTGACAGCGTGAACTAAAAATGTGACCAGGTGTCCAGCAGCACATCTGCCTCCCTGTTTCTCCCACACTGTCACAACATTAGTGCAGATCACAAAGAAGCGATGGGATGGAAGCCAGGATGCGTTCACAGCCCCATCCCAAAACTAACTAAAGGCGCTGTTTCACAGGGGCAGAGCAACACTTACTCTAGAATGAAATCATTAAGAATGGATCCAAATTCATTCTTAATGGAAGGAAAAGATAAAAACTAAAAAAAAAAAATCATATTTATTTTTTATTGTTACATGTATGGGGAATTTATTTGCACACACATCCGAGTAGTACCACGTGTGTATCTGGTGCCCAAGGGGGTCTGAAGAGGGAGTTGGAACCCTTGAGACTGGAGTTACAGACAGTTGTGAGTTGCCATGCAGGTGCTGGGAATCAAGCCCAGGCCCCCTGGAAGAGCGGCCAATGCTCCTCACCGCTGAGCCATCATCTCTCCAGGCCCCAACTCTCAAATCTCGAAAATACACATACCCCCATGTAGTTCTCTGAAGAGATCTAAAGTATTCTACTCCCAAATTTGTAGCCTATTTAGGTATTTCTGAACTTCTATGGGGTTAGCTACATTTACCTCATGAAATCAAACCATAACTTTTCCTACCTTCAAAAAATTTTCCAAGACCAAAAGGATCCATTTTAACTATATAAAATTAGCCAAACACAAAATAAAGACACGAGCAAACAAATTATTTCAAACCTGTGCATCTTACCCAGTGTGAAGAGCGGTGGCTGGAACCTCAGGAGGGCGATGCTGTACACAGTCACTAGCCTGGCGGGTCTGGCCTCCACAGCTTCGCCTCTCTTCATGAGCGTTGACAACCTCTGCCCATCCTTCTTCAGTGCAGAGTAGCTTTGTGGTAAGAGAGAGCAGGGGTGAGAGAGACGGTGATGGCAGCTGAGAGGGTAATTCCCAGCTCTTCATACTCAAGACTTGTCTAAAATTCAACTAGTCTCTTCTCCTGGTCTACCCATCTCGGGGACAAAGTCCCTACGCGTCTCTGAGACTGATATATACAGTGAGCGGCACCCATTTTCTTCTTTAGCTTTCCTGGAGATGACTTTGTCAGCGCCCTTTGCTAGCCCCCAACTCAGAAGCAGCTTCTCCCTGAGAAACGTCTCACACAGTGAAATCTCATGGCATCACAAACCCATGGATAACCACAGAAAACATTAAAGCAGTTTGCATACAATAAACATATATACTTCTCTTAGTCTAACAAATGATTCAAATATTTTGTGCAGACTTTGCTAAAATTTTTCAAGTTTTATGTTTGAGAAAAAGCTTGAAGAAATGATGTATCTCCATAGAATAATCCAGTGTTCTCAGGGGAAGCAAAAACAAGATTTCTAAATACAAATAAAATCTAAATTCTCAAAGAACCTCAGCAACACATCCCGATGTTTCCTAGTAACGAGCACACGCAGATGGTAAGAGGCACTGTGGCCTGAGCGCCTCCCCTCCCAGTCACTGCTCACATCCTAAGCACCAAGATGATGGCATTGGGAGGAGAGGGTGACCAGTCACAAACAGAGTTCTCAAGGAAGCAGTTGTTGCCCCAGACAGATGCCTTCAGCCCTCGGCCACATGAGGGCAGCATCGATGAGAAGGCAGGCTCTCACCAGCAAAGCAATCCACCAGCGCCTGCCTTAACCTGGACATGGCCCCCAGGACCGTGGGAAACTGCTCATGAGTTTGTGGCTGTTTTCTTATAGACACCCCAATGCACCAAGACAAAGTAAGGCAATTTATACTCACATTTATTACAAAGTTATAACTTTAATCTGTTAGATATGCTGTCAAGATTCTGGGGTGGGCCGGGCGGTGATGGCACACACCTTTAATCCCAGCACTCGGGAGGCAGAGGCAGGAGGATTTCTGTGAGTTCAAGACCAGTCTGGTCTACAAGAGCTAGTTCCAGGACAGGCACCAAAGCCACAGAGAAACTCTGTCTAGAAAAACCAAAACAAAATAAAAAATAAAAATAAAGATTCTGGGGTGGGAAGGAAGCACACATTAGGACTCTTAATTCACAGGTCTGTTGCTTCAACACTGTGCTTTCACTGTTACTTTTGGGAAAGTGCCCTCTCTGGACCTGTCACTGCCCTGATATCTACAGACAGAGCTTGAAGAGCTGGGGAAACAGACGCCAGGCTAAGCTAACGTCCAGTACAGACTGGAATGCACTTTGGGATCAAAGCTTTGCCTCCAGGATGAATCTGCTCCTCGCTTTTTGATTATTTACAGTGTCCAGATAAAAACAGAGCAAAAGAAAAGCCCACTAATTATTGATGTTAGCCTATAGATGATAAAATTAAACATAAATTCAATAAATGAACTTACAGTGGGGGTACTTGCATTATATTCCCAGTAAACTTCTGCAGAATGCCTTCAATATCTTCTTGTGTTATTTTATCTGCCAGAAATGAATCAAGGAAAGATGACACAGCCACATAGGCAACAGTCCCAACAACTCTGAAAGTCATCATTATTATTTCTCAATAAAACACAAATTACAGGAGTTGCAGAGATGGCTCAGTGGTTAGTTCAACTCGTAGCATCCACGTGGTGGTTTACAGCTCTAAGATTCTAATCCCGGTGGATCTGATGCCCTTCTCTGGCCTCAGAGGGCACTAGGTACACAATGTTCAGACATATGGAGGCAAAACACCTATACAAATAAAACATCATAAATTGCAGTGTATGGCTCATAGGCCAAATGCCACCTTGTTGAAAAGAATAAAATGCATATTAATGAGATGAAAAGCAAAGAAAATTTTATGTTATTCTTTTTAGAAACTTAATTTCCCTTAGTTTAAGCCTCATGCTACCCCAGTTGTTCCCCAGTTATTATTAAAAATGATGCATCATATACGTATTGGGAGATTCTGATGCCGCCTAGAAAATCCAAGAAAGATGGGAAATTAGCTAGAGACATGGTGCCACAGCAGTCAATGCAGCGTGATCAAAGGGCAGACATCGAATGCCCCACGCTACAGCGCTCTGTTTCTCCAGGCTCCATGTCTGAGTGCCTGAGTGCCTGAGCACAGAGGACAGCGGATGTAGTGGCACCTTAAGTCTCACTTGATAGGATTTAACTATGCTATGTTATGAAATAAATGTCACATACACACATTCAGCTCTGTCTCCAAGCAGAGCTATTGATCTGTCTCCCCATCCTTCCCTGCCTGGAACTTCTCTCCACTTTTAAATGATCACTCTCAGCTCAAAAACAAACCAGAACAGAAAAGGAACACACACAGCAAGGACTTTGGCATGCTCACTAAGCATTTTTCAAAGGCAGATTTTAGAAAAAAATACACACACACACACACACACACACACACACACACACACACACACACACAAAGCTTTTCACATGTCAGTCATCTTTTCAGGCTTTTTTTTTTTTTTTTTTGGTGCATTTAACAGAAGGATGAAGTATTGTACTAGCTCAAGTTCAGTTTTTGGGTTTTCATACTTGCAGATGATTGAGAACAAACCATACCTTGGAAATACTTAGATTACTGCCAGTGCTTTCATTATTTTGTAGAAAATTTATTAAACTTTTTTTGTAAATGTGCATTTCATTTTATTTGAAAAGATTAGACAAAAATTGTTACAGTACCATGATAAAGCTTGAAGGGCACCAGGGAGTCTGTGTACACTCAGCAAGACAGTCGTAGCCTCACTATGACCTTGTAAGCAAAACACAAACAAAGCTGGGATCTGCTAGACTCAGCCAGTAAAGAGCTACAATGTCGGAAGACTTCCTGTAGCAGCCTCCAACACCACAGACCTCAGACAGCAGCCCCTACAGCGCCGCGGCTGCGCAGAGACCTGACTGCAAGTCTGGGTGAGGACTTTCCCACGGAAAAGTTTAACTGTACTGTCACAGTAAGAAATAATTACAGTTGGCACCTTAGTGATGCTATTCCGAGCTTGCCAGATGTAGCAGGCCCAATGGTACCACCAGGCTGGACCTGCTGAAGGAGATGCCATAGTTGGTAAAGCTGCTACAGTGCATTGACTTAGCCAGGCAGTTCAAAACAAGACAGCTGTCCATTCCTGTCAGGCCCAGCTCTGCCCTGACACTGCTTTCCTGTGAACACGCTTGTCACTGTCCTGATTCAGTGGCTTTCTCTCATGGATATACACATGTGCGCACACAAACACACAGATGTACAACACACACAGACACACACACACAGATGTACAACACACACATGACACATGCTCCTTCTCATTCTACTTCTGTTGTACCATCTCTCTTTGACCCTCTAGTGCAGGCATCTGTATTGTGTGTGCTGTTCATCCCAGCCATTTTCAACAGCATGCTGAGCTATTAGCTCACCAACAAAATCTTCAGATTGAAGACAAAGCCAGCGTGTCTCTGAGATGACAGACACTGGTAGGATGGCACTCAACACATTCCTGCTGAACTTTAATTTGCTCAGGGTAATAGAATCTCCAGGTTGAAGGGCATTTAAAAGTCACCTCGGCCAATCATTTATCCACTGTTAGGATGACCAGGCAGAGAGCCTACAGAAAAGGTTATTTTATAATAGCAGCCAAGCTTGGGGCACTCGGATATGCAGTGAAACACTGGCTATGTCTAAAGCTGGCCTTAGTCCAACCAAATAGCTGTCCCATGATTTAACAGTGCTGCCACCATTAAGATCTTAAAGATGCAGATAAAGTTCTCCACACAAGGAAATCCAGTGATGAACCCAAAGAGAAGAGAGAGGCATAGCACAAGTGCAAAGGGACCTGGATATTCATTCTCTGTTCAGTAAAGTAATGAGCCATCGACCTGAAAGCATCCATTTGAACTGCATCTTAAAAAGTCATTATCTAGGCTAGGGTTGTAGCTCAGTGGTGAAGCAGTTGCCTAACATGGAAAAAGGTACCTCCTATACACGTCATCCCCATAAAATGACCACACGCATGGACAGGCTGCCCAATCACTACTCACTTACAATGCAGCAAGCCCTCCGTGCACACGGCATGGTGCCTGCTACCGACCTGAACTGCAGAGCCAACAGGAGAGTGAGGAAGTTAAGCACTGTGTTCTACCACAGTGAGCCACTGCTGGACAACGCGCTACCACAACCACTGCGAAGCATCCCAGTCCTCAGGCAACCTCATGCTGGCTGTTACACAGCAGGGAACAAGGACTGCAGTCAATCGGAGAGAAGGACAAAAAGACAAACACCTCAAAATGTGCTTCTGCCTGGAATTTAAAAAATTTATAATTTGAAACCTTCCTTATAAAAGAATATCCCAGGGATGTTACCAGTAAACACTACCAAATATTAGAAAAGGAAGTAATTTCAACTGGACACAAACTCTTCCCGAAAGCAGACAAGATAAACAGGGCCAGGGACAGCTCAGGGGCAGGGCCACTGTGAAGCTCTGGGTTCTCTCTCCAGCACCACAAAGATAAAACCAGATCTAAAGACAGTGACATCTTTCTCACATGAACCTAACTCTTAGGCCCAGTCAGAACCTGAGAAGGTAAAGTTGGGAGCACAGAGGAAAAAAAAAAAAAAATACAAGGTAATCCTACTCATAAACCCAGATGCAAAAACCCTAACTAAACATTCACCTATCAAGTCTACCATGTACATATAATACACGATGACCAAGTTAAATCAACTCCAGAAATGTACAGTTAGCTTAACATCTGAATACGGAGAAAACAAAATAAAATTTAAAAAATCAGAGAAAAGCTTTGCTAATGCTGTCTTCTGAACATGACATGGCTAGCCCACTCATGAACCCAGGGCTGAGGTTACCTACACAAGGTGGAGACAGCCCACAAACAACCCTTCCCATAATTCTCTTCCATTTATGATTTAAAAGCAAACCAAATTTCAGCAAAGCAGGAAAGAAAAAAAGGGATGAATTCCTTTGACAAAACAGCTATTTTTAAAGGTGGGGTCTGTAATAAACAAGGTGGGAAGATCTATTTTTCCTCTAAGATAACAGATCCTTTGGTGTTGAGACAAGGATGGACAAATTCACTAAGCTGGCAATGAAGATTCCAGACAAGCCCATGCCTGCTAAGGTGCTTGATTTGTGACAGAATAATGGAAAAAGTGCAAGGCCAACTGGATATCCACAAAGGGGAAAGTGATGGATTGGACATGTACTGTCAGAGGCAAAGCAATAAAGGTTTCTAGAGTATATAAAAATATCCTTTGCTTAAAAAAATTGTGTGTTACCTATGGACACCTGATTTTCAACAAAGAAGCCAAAATTATACAATGGAAAAAAAGAGAGCATCTTCAACAAATGGTGCTGGCATAACTTGGGTGTTGGCATGTGGAAGAATGCAAATTGATCCACATTTACCACTCTGCACAAAACTCAAATCTAAGTGGATAGAAGACCTCAACATAAATCCAGATACACTGAACCTGGTAGAAGAGAAAGTGGGAAATAATCTTGAACGCATTGGAACAGGAGACAACTTCTTGAACCGAGTACCAAAAGCACAGGCACTAAGACTGACAACCAATAAATGGGACCTCCTGAAACTGAGAAGCTTCTGTAAGGCAAAGGACACAGTCAAGAGGACAAAACGGCAGCCCACAGACTGGGAAAAGATCTCCATCAACCCCACATCCAACAGAGGGATGATTTCCAAATATATAAATAACTCAAGAAACTAGATTATCAATAAACCAAATAATCCAATTAAAAAATGGGGTGCAGATCTAAACAGAATTCTCAGCAGAAGAAACTCAAATGGCTAAGAAACACTTCAGGAGATGTTCCTTAGCCATCAGGGAAACCCAAATCAAAATGACTCTGAGATTCCATCTTACACCTGCCAGAATGGCTAAGATCAAAAACACAAGCAACAGCTCACGCTGGAAAGGATGTGGAGCAAGGGGCACACTCCTCCATTGCTGGTGGGAGTGCAAACTTGTACAGCTACTTTGGAAGTCAGTGTGGTGGTTTCTTAGAAAACTAGGAATCAATCTACCACACGACCCAGCTATACTACTCTTGGGCATATACCTAAAGAATGCTCAATTGCACCACCAAGACACTAGTGCAACTATGTTCATTCATAGCAGCTTTATCTGTAAGAGCCAGAACCTGGAAACAACCTAGATGCCCCTCAACTGAGGAATGAATAAAGAAAATGTGGCACATTTACACAATGGAGTATTACTTAGCTGTTAAAAACAAGACATCAGCAAATTTGAAGGCAAAGAGATGGAACTAAAAAAAAAAAAAAATCACCCTGAGTGAGGTAACCCAGACCAATAAAGACAAACATGGTATGCACTCACTCATAAGTGGATATTAGCTATATAGCAAAGGAGGACCATGCTATAATCCACAGACCTAGAGAGACAGATAACAAGGAGAGTTCATGGGGGAAGGAGAGACAGAAGAGATTTTGTGAGCCGGAATGAGGGCAGGTGGGAATGGTAACATGAGCATCAGGTTTTCAGGGAGGGGGCAGAGTGCTGAGGGGGACTGTTGGGGGGAATTTCAGGGTTGTGTGGAAGCTTGGTGCAGGGGAATCTCCCAGGAGTCTTTGGGGAGGACTCCAGCTTAGACTCCTAGCAATAGCAAGCAGATATGTAGCCTGAACTGGCTGTCTTCTGTGACCAGATTGGTGCCTGCCCCAACTGTCATCAGAAAGGTGACATCCAGCATGATGAGGGAGAAGCAGACCCACAGCCAAACACTGGCTGGAACTTGGGAACCCTGCTGAGGAGGAGAAAGGAGTGTAGCAGTCAGAGGAAGGTCACCACAGGAAGGCTCACCCAGTCAACTAACCTGGGCTCATAGGGGCTCCCAGAGATTGAACTGGACAGACCAGCAGGGAGACTGCATGAGACTGACCTATGCACTCTGCATATATGTTACAGTTGTATAGCTTGGCCCTCTTATGGGACTCCTAACAGCAGGCACAGGGGCTGTCTCCGACTCTTTTACTGGCTTTTGGAACTCTACTCCTCATACTGGATTGCCTTGCCCAGCCTTAATATATGGGGAGGTGCTTCGTCTTACAGCAACTGGATATGCCTGCCATGTTTTACTGCTCCTCATAGGAGACCTGCCCTTTCCTAGATGGGAATGGAGGGGGGGAGCTGGCAGGTGGGAGGTGGGAACAGGGGAGAGGGACTGGGAGGCGAAGATGGGGAGCAGTTGTAGCCAGGATGTAAAATAGATAGATAATAAAAAAAATTGTGTGCACGTGCAC